AGTTTATTAAAAATGCTAGCTTTGGGCCCTCCCTGATGGTATAAAGGTTATTAAATCACAGCACAATGAAGCTATCCGAAGCCACTGCAGCATAAGTATATTGTGGCAGACCTCTCCTGACCCACCCACTGCTCCCCTCAGCAGTATATTTCAGTCCATCTGCCTGTTCTGCTCCCCACTCTGTCTCTGGTGAATCCCCGAATCCCCTCACCCACCTGCATCTCTGGCCTGTACCCCAGTTCTTGTATGCATTAATAAATAATTTTTTTTTAAATGCTAGCTTTGCTGTCTCCCTTCCTTGTCAAGAGGAAATACTTGTCCTTTGTGTATTCCATTATGCAGTGTCTTTTATTGGGCCCAGACACCCATCAACAAAATGAACTCACTGAGTACAGTCACATTTTTACCTCCTCTTTAACTGCCCAAAAGAAATCAGAAAGGAGATCTATACCAGAAAGATAGCTATTACGAGAGAGAATGTTTTTGTAGCTAAGAGATTTATCTGGAAGGTGGGGCAAACTGCCTTTTGTCTAAATGAATTTTTCTTTAAATCAGGATTAACATAAAAGCTTCAACTGCTACCTTTGAGTCTCATATTTTTGTGGGTTTCCCCTGCATTCATAATTAGTTAAGCTTTTCACCCTATTACTTTTTTATTTTAAGCTTCTCATTGCTTTTATCCTATTAATATGCTTTTTTATTAATGAAGAGTCTCAGCCAAGAACCTAGTAGAGAGAATATAATCTTTAGTTCCCCCATAGCTTTTGCAATAAATATTTTATGAAGAACAAATATCTTCCTGAACTATTAGTTTCCTGTTTGATTCCTTCCTCAATATTACAAGCTATTAAATCAAGGGAATTTCCTGATCCTATGTCTGAAGGCTTTCTATCAAATATTTCTATCCCTTCTGTTTACACCCTAGTCTAAACTTCTTACATAGTTAAGAGACTTCAATTATGCCCACCTGTACTTCTTACCAGTCAACCATGTATGCTGTGTTTTCCAATTGACACATTCTTTGATCTCAATTATGGCCACCTAAACTTCTTACCAGTCAGGTATGCTATTTTCCCCAAGTGGCACAGCTTTTTTTCTTTTCTTTTTTTTTTTTAAGGTTTATTTATGTATTTATGCTTACAGAACTGGGGTACAAGCCAGAGGTATAGTGGGTGAGAAGACTCACCAGAGGTAAGAGTGGAAAATAGAACAGGCAGATCAACTGAAATATACTGCTGAGGGGAGCAGTGGGCGGGTCAGGAAAGGTCTGCCGCCACATGGGTCACCTCCCTGGATGGGGATCAAACTCATGCTGAGGTGGCTTTGGAAAACTTCATAGTGCGGTGCTTTAACCCATTGCGCCATTAGGGAGCGTCCCATCTTTTACTATTTTCTATGCAGAAAGTTACACTTCTGCATCTTATTACTCTTCCTACAGACCTTCCCAGAGTAGCATCAACCACTTTGAGTATCTTTAGTTATCACTGCTTCATGTAACAGAGTAACTATTTAATACTTGCTATCATTAACAATCATGTCTATGTCACTAATTATATAAGTTAATGTGGATGAGCGGCTTAAAATCAATGATCATTGCTAGTTCACAAGAAATGCATGTACAAAAAATTTCAATTTAGTGTTGTGGTTTAGCACAGCAAATAGCTGTATAAGTACATTGTTGTTCTCAACAATAGAGATTCTGAAAATGGATTACGAGTTTACAGCCCTGATCCTGAGCCTTTATTACTCTTGGTATCCTTGGACAACTTATTTAATAATCATGTCTATCAGTTTTATAATCAGTTTCCAATTTTATAATTGGAATTATAAAAATTACACAAGTAGACATACATAAAATTTATTTTACGGCATCTAGCACAAAAACACAATGTAAATATCTACTACTATTGTGCTGTTGTCCTAGCTTACATTAACATAACAAAACACCATAAACTGGGTTGTTAATCAATACAGAAACTTACTTCTTGCAGTTCTAGAGACGAAAATTGCAGTTCCCAGACCATGAGGAAAAGGAACTAGTTTTTTTTTTTTAACCTATTCCTGTAAGGGCACTAATCCTATTCATAAGGGCTCCAGTTTTATGATCTTATTGTCTCCCAAAGACCACCACTCTAGAACTAGGGTTTCAACCATTTTTTTAAGGCAAGAAGGAAGAATATGAAATTGCCCATCATTTCACCTATAGAGGGTTGCCCATTTGGGGACCTTTCAGGACACTTGGAATGTCCAAGTCAGACCCATTCAACTGTCATCCATAAGCCAAACAGCCTACTAGGGTTTTCAAAAGAAGAAAAGGCTGTACTCTAGCTAATGCAATCATGGTAACCTTTGAGGGTGCCTGAAATCTTACAGTAATGTTGGGGTATACCCTAACCTGGTTCCAAGAAACAAAAAGAAAGAATAAGGGGTCCTTGTACCTGATTTCTCCTCATAAGGGCCACCAAATGCTGCCAGGAAGAACTGGAGTATAGGCCAGAACTCACCAGAGACAGAAAAGGGAAATTTACTGAAATCCTCAGCACTGTTGCTGAGAGGAGCGGCAGATAAGACAGGAGAATTCGTCTGCCCAACAACTTAATTTTGAGGGAACACAAATAGTGCACAGCAGCTATTAATTAAGACTTTTTTCTGTTCTCATATTTTATTGCTAAGGATATTAATGTTTAAAAACAAATCCAATAACTTTCCAAAAGTCACAAGTACAAATAAGCTTTAAAATCTGAAAAGGGTCAGTAGCCTACCTATTCTATTACCATGTTAAGCTTTATTTATTAATTTTCTAGGTCTTCATGTCCATTTTATGATTAAAAAAATCAAAAACAGTGAAAGAATTTAGAATCCCAAATATTAAGAAAAAAAGAAAGGAATAAATACTTTTGATGATGAAGAGAAAACACAGACTTATGTTTATATAAATGGAGGGTACAGAGAGGTGGTTCAGAGAACTGAATTAAGAAGGTAAGGTTAATAAAACAATAGTTATTAACAAAACTTTAAATGTATAAAATCATATAAAGAGCAATCACTATTTGACATATGATTTTCCTTAGATAAATCCAATGTTTACTGATAATACAAACTCTGACCTAATAAAATACTCCCTTTCCCCATCCTCACTTCCCCCCAAAAAGAAAACCTCTAAATGAAAAATATAGGCACATCACTCTATCGGGATAGTAAATTATATTTTTGTAAGAACAGTTAAACATTGGTATTCCTGGTTATATACACTCTGTTTATAGTTAGTTTCTTTCCATAGTTCCTTTCCTACAGAAGCAACCAACATAAATATCAATACTACAATGGTAAATCGCTGAAGTCATTGTATGTCTTCCACTATAAAACTGATACTATGGTTTCAAAAATAAAATGGGGGTTGGAGGAAAAGTCTCCAAATAAGGATTACTCTAAGAAGTATGACACAAGGTAACAGGATAAAAGGTAGGAATGCAACCCAACCACCAATTCAAAATGTCAAAAACAATTTAAGTTCCAGGATCTTCAGAAAAGAGCAAATACTAGAGAAGATTTTAACTCCTCATGCCTTCAAAATATACAGCATTGCTGGTGCTCTGGGTTAAAATATGTTGATTATTCTTCCCTTCCTTCAAACTCTGGCAATAAATATGAAATGGTTTGTACTCACATTTCCCAAGATTTAAATCCCTATGCCTAGTCTGTTTTAAAAGACAGAGGCTGAAGGGCAGAACTGGGATCCAAAACATTTCTAGCTCATCAACATCTGTCTTAAAATTAAAACTCTTACTAGATAGAAGATATGCCACCAATACTAAACTTTGTTTTGTATAAAGTCATTTTTGTTCTAGACTGATCACCTTCAACCTATATCACTTGGTAACTGGAGTGCTGAATGCCTTTTGCTGGCTCAATAAATATGTCTGACTAAACCCCATCAAAGCTATGCCTCATAGGCTCTCCTGATCCCAACTTAAACCCAATTTAAGCTCCTTATCATCTTGAGGTTAAGTTGTTTTCTCTTTCTACCAGTAATAAGCACAGAACAAATTTATTTGAGCCAACATTTACTCAAGTTTCTTTCATCTCATTTTATTCCCTTTGCCCTGAGTAATGCCTACTGCAAGCTATGAAAATCACTGAAGATACATGATCTCTGCCTTTTAGGGGATCACAGCCCAGCACAGGAGATAAATATAGAAACAAATAATTTTTCAAAAGTGTAAGAAAATTCTATAAAATAACTTAAAATCCTGCAATAAGGCAAATGAAGAAAAGGCTAAAACTTCACAGTGTAGCTAATATCTTAAAACAGTTTTGAAAGATAGTAGGATAGGTGCTGTGTGTATGTGTTTTAGTTGAGATGCAGGAAATATTGAGTGGGGAAAAACTAAGGGTAAAGTTAATGTCTGATGACAGCCAATGTTTTAGCTAAAAACTGCCAAACTTAAGACAACTACATAGTTCTTTTTCTCTTTCATTCTTGCAAATTAATCTAACCATGGATTCACAAGAAAGAATTCTCCAAACATACACTTAGAAATTTTGTATACCAAGTAACTATCACAAAATAGGAAACAGGAAAAAGCATTTTGAAATAACTGGAAAACTCGATGCAATCAGACTGACCATCTGTATTACAAGGGAATAAAATCAGTCCTCAATATTGATGCAGGAGTACCAACTGAAAATTCAAAAGACCTGAATTCAAATCTGAGAAAAAATCTTAAGCAATAATTACAAAAAAAAAAACTTTTTTTTTTTTAATTTAATTTCTAAATGGTTCACCTCACTCAAAGGCATTAAGATCAAATAAAACAATGAGTATAAAATGTGCCTGTGGAAGGTAGGGGGAGAACGACCAGAAAATGCTAGAGAAATAAAACATTACTTTCACTATGGTAATAGTTACATTTGTTGTACGGAAATGAATTTATAAAATCCAAATTTACGACATAACAACCCCCCCCATCATGATAAATTTGTGATAAAGAGCTTTTTACCCGTTCTACAGATCGTGCTCTCTTCTTTGGCCGAGTAGGCAACGCATCTTCCTTCGGATTGGTATCTATTGCCCAATAGGATCCCTAAAAGGTAAAGAAATGAATTATATTTTAGGAGTATATTACAGCAATTCTGTAACAATAAAATGGTTTTGTGCAACCCTGTTCCAAAGTAAACATTCTGTAGCTGTAAAAATGTAAAAGTAGCATGAGAATAAACACTAGTTTTGAGCTGAGAAAAAAAGAACTTATAATAATTTACAACCAAAAGAGTTTAACAATGTATGACCGGGGGGTGGGGGTTGGGGGGTGAGGGAACGGGACTCACAGCTGAACAAGTGCAAAATCAAATTAAAATGAGAAATGATCAACTGACAATATTTAAATACGTATTAACTCTAAATTGAACACATGATAATTACAACAGTATGTGACAGTATGTGACATTCATATCTAACTGAATATTACATATATAGATATTGTAGATTTCCCCCCTGGGACCTTACAAAGTTGCATGGCAAGTGAAACTGATTGATTGAATATATTCTATACAATAAGTACATTCTAGAAAAATATGGTTTGTACATAAATCTTTATTGCTTATTCTGTCACTATTTAATTGCACTCTCTTACTTCTTATACAAGTTTTCAGATCATTCCTTGGACGAGATCCTATGTTCCAGGAACTTGGAATTGTGACTTCCTCAAAAAATATTTCAAATGCATAGATCATATAGTTTCTATATATCATATAGATGAGGAGACTAAAGTTCAGAAATATGAAAGTGGTGTATTTAACCAAGGATCTAAGACTGAGAAGAAGAATCAAAGTCTTTATTCTTAGTTCTTTCTCCCCTAAATTATCCTGCCTCTACACACACACACACACACACACACACACACACACACTTTTTGAGAGAGACGGCTAAGAAAGGATAGAGTGGAAAAAAAGGAAAAAGGGAGAGATGTAGTTCAGAAACACAATATATGTCCTAATTTTACAACTGATCCCAGTGACAGTATTAAAAAGTTTTGTTTTTGCTCAGTATTTCATTAACCTTCCCATGTTGTTTCCTTAGATGCCTTAAAACAGGCACCTATGCCTGTTTTACATTCTGCCCTCATTATCTGTAATATCTTCCCTACCACTGACGAACTCCTATTCCATTTTCAAAATTTAGCTCAGATGTTATCTAAAGGAATTCTTCTTTGATCCTCCTAACATACACAATAATTCATCAATCTCTGTACTTTCTATACATGTAGACCACTGATTGCACTTAATGTTATAATTTTATTTACAGGCTTGTATCCCCTTCTAAACTATTTGAGTTCTTAATGGCAGATATTCATTTCTACATCTACAGTGCCAGGCACAAAACTGGACATAAAGCAAGTGCCTAATAAACATCTGTTGACAGGGGAAGAAAAAAAGCTGTTGAACAAATTATGCCAAGAATGTCAAATTACATGGTATGATGCCAAGCACTGCCATACCCCAGTTCATGTAACTCAATTTGGCACTGGTTTCATTCCCCCCACCCCATCCCCACCCCCAGCAATGCCTGGAGCATTCTTCTATATCTTTTCAAAGTGGTCACTGCATGTCAACTAATGAGCCAACCAAACTTGAAGTAAATTTACCAGGAACTATGTAAAACATAGCACTACAGAAAGTAAGCACTTAAAATGAAGGTAAGATTACACATTCAGCTACCAAATTTCAAAGTAAGTGAAATAGTAAAGTTTTAACATTCAGTTCTTGTAAAAATTAAAAACAGTTTCTACTCCCAATAATAGTGTATGAGTTCATCAGCTACATACTTGTTAAGTCTTTTCATTCTCAACCATTCTAGCAGGTTATCTACTGTGGAATATAAAGAAAACACGGCATTTATGTGTATGGTGTCAAAGTGGTTATTTCACTCTTTTGTGTATGGCTGATCAATCCTCTCAAAACCACATCCAAAAGAGACTTTACTTTCTCCACTAGTCTTGGTTTCTTTGTCATAGACTAACTGCCTGTACAACTTGGGTTTATTTCTGCAACCTCAATTCTACTCTGATCTTTTTTTAAATTTTAATTCCAAAACCAAGCTGGTTTTGATTACTATAGCTTTGTAATATCGTTTGAAGTATGGGAGTATGATATTTCTGCCCTTTTCTGCCAAAACTGCTTTGTCCATCTAAGGGCTTTTTTTGGTTCAATGTAAGTTTTAGCAATGTTTGCTCTGTTTCTTTGAAGGATCCCATTGAAATTTTGATAAGGATCTTTTTTGATAAGGATCTTTTTTAATGTGTGTATTACTTTTGGTAATATAGCATTTTAATAATTCTAATTGTTCCAACCCACAAGGAATACACTTGCCATTTCATTGTGTTGTCTTCTACTTCCTTTAATAATTTCTTAGTTTTTATTTTTTTGGACAGTACACCTTCTTTGTTAGGTTTACTCCTAGGTATTTACTTATTTTTTGATGCAACTGTAAATGGGATTATTCTAGGAGAAACCATTGTGCTAGCTAGAAAACATAGTTTGCATACAGAAACACAACTGATTTTTGTAGATTTACTTTGTTACCTGCTACTTCAATATACTGACTCAATGATTCTAATAGTGTTTAGGGTTTTTAGTCTTTTAGGGATTTTTATGCATGTTACCATGTCATCTTTAAATACTATCACTTCTTCCAACTTGGATTCATTTTATATCTTTCTCTTGCCGAATTTCTCTGATTATGGCATCTAATGTTTTGTTAAATAGTAGTGGTGAAAGTAGAGAGCCTTTCCTGTACCTGATCTAAAGAGGAAATGCTTTCAACTTTTCCTTAATGTGGAGAATTGAGCTGATTATTCTGTAGTTGTTAAATCATGCTTACATCCCTGAGGTAAATTTTACATACTCATGATATATGATCCTTTGAATATATTGTTGAATTTAGTTTGCTAAGATTTGGGATTTTCACATCCATATTCATCAAGGACACCGATTTATAGTTTTCTTTATTTGTGATGTGCTTGCCTGCTTTTGGTACCAGAGTAATGTTGGACTCATAATATTCAATGTTACAGTAAAATGTCACTGGTTTTGTTAACTTCATTTTACAGCATTTTCTTTGTGGTATAAAAAATTTATACTGACCTTGTGTCTTGCAACTCTGCTAAACCCGCCTATTAGTTCTAGAAGGTATTTGCAAAGACACAATTTTGTTTTTTGGGGGTTTTTTTATGTGTTTAAAGTATTCAGAGAACAGGTTCACGGGCCTCAACAGAACGCTGAACAGAGATATGAGATAAACAATCATAAAGAAACATGATATTGAAGTCACAGATACATGAGTTAAATTACTAAGGAAACTATTTAATTAGGTGAAAAAAAGGGACACATCCAGATAAGTAAAGAAAAATTTTTTTAATTATTTGCTTTACTTGAATACTCTTTCCTTCAATATTTTAGTTAGCACAATGATTCTAAGTTCTCTTATATTTTTAATTATAAATACCAAAAATGCATTAAAAATATATTGCTGATATCAAGCAATCCAAACTTCAAAGTCTTAAGATTTTTTACAGCTCTCATTAATCCTGACAGCAGTGAAAGGAGTGTGCTGGCATACTATTTAAAAATCACTTTTTTTTTTATTTACTAGAAGCTTTACACAATGAAGAAAAGCAAACTAATTCCTAGAAAACTTGGTCTCTGAACTTAATGTATTATGTTGAAGTTTTTAGTTTTTAAGTGATTCTCTAACTAGACCCAAGTTTTAATGAAAGTATCAAACTATAATTTAATAAATTATTTTGTTTGAAATTAACTCCAATAAATGTCTTATCTGAAAACACCTTCGGCACAAGCAATAAAATAAAAAATAAATAAGTGGAACTATATCAAACCAAAAAAGTTTCTGCATAGCAAAAAAACTGAAAACAATAAAATGAAAAGACAACCGACAGAATGGAAAAAATCATCTGCAAACCATGTATCTGGCAGGGATTAAAATGCAAAATGCAGAAAGAACTTATTAACAGCAAAAACAAAGTAACATCCAACAATAACAATAAAAATCATGGGACCTGAATAGGCAATTCTCCAAGGAAGCTATATGAATAGCCAACAGGCACATGAAAAGGTGCCCAACATCACTAATCATTAGGAAAATGCAAATCAAACCATAAGTGAAATATCAACTCAGACCTGTCAGAATGGCTATCATTACAGAGGTAACAAATGCTACACAGATGTGGAGAAAAGGGAGCACTGCTGGTGTAACAGTAAGTTGGTATAGCCACTATGAAAGAGCTTCGGTCTGAAAGAGCTTCAAAAAATTGAAATTACCCCAAAAATATAGAACTGTCACATGATCCAGCCATTCCACTTCTGGGAATATATCCAAAGGAAACAAAAACAGCAACTGGGAAAAATAATCCAAAACCTAATGTTCACAGCAACATTATTTACAATAGTCAAGGCATGGGTACAACTTAACATGCTCATTAATGAATGAATGAATGAAGTCTTCTCACACATACAGGAATATTATTTAGTCATAAAAATTAAGACTATCCTATCATTTCTAACACAGAATCTGAAGGCATAATACAAATAAAGTCAGAAAGAAATAGGTAAATGATTTCACTTACATGTGGAAGCTTAATTAAAACAACAACAACAACACTCACAGAAACAGGGATTAGCCTGGTGGTTTACCAAACATGAAGGATAGAGGTAGACGGAGCAGAAGGAAGGTACAAACTTCCAGTTATAAGCAAATAAGTACTAGGAATATAATGTACAACACAAATACCACAGCTAACATTCTTATATAAGAATGTTATTTAAAAAGTAAAATATGGCCCTCCCTGGTGGCGCAGCAGGTTAAAGCACTGCACTGAGAAGCTAAAGCCACTTCCGCATGAGTTTGATCCCCGCCTGTCCCAGAGGTGACCACATGGCGTGGCAGACCTCTCCTGACCCGCCCGCTGCTCCCCTCACCAGTGTACTTCGTCGAGCTGCCTGTTCTGCTTCCCTCTCTGTCTCTGGTGAATCCTCTCATCCTCCACATCTCTGGTCTGTACCCCAGTTC